CTGAAAAATGTTTACTCAAATGATATCTTTTTATATATTATATCCCCCCTCCCCCGCCCCGCCCCGCCCCGCCCCCTGACAGTCCCCAATACATGAAGGATGAGAGTTGACAGAGAAAACAAAGCCAATGGTTTACCCTGATAAGATCTCCGTCTATCACAAGCTCCGCTGCAGGCCTGAGGGGGACCCGGCGCCGAGTAATTTCATGCTGGATTGTATCGTCTTGTCTCATCAGCATAGAAGGGTGGCGGCACGCTTGGAGGAGGATATCGTTGTTTATGACTACAAGGCTGCGAAAAAGACGAGCATGCCTGGGTTTATGATGGAGTTGTTCCAGCAGACGTGGGAGATGCAGCAGGCTGAGGAGGTGAGGGCGAGGACGAGGATTTGGGAGTTGATTGGGGAGGTGGAGGGGTTGGAGAAGGAGACGTGGGATAGGGAGGATGCGGTAGAGGATTTGGGGAGTGCTGGTAAGAGTAGTGCTTGAAAAGGTTGAGCATGGAAGTCTAAATATCAGGGTTCATGGTGTGGCGGGTTCTCCTTTTCTTTTTCTCTTCTATGATGGGTGGTCCCTGTGTTTTGATAGACAATCACACAATATCAATATGACTGTAGAAGCCAAGAATAGAAAATGCTTGTTATTCAAATGGTTCGCCGCGGAAAAGCTTGATGAATAGGAGGTGTCAAGTCTAAAGTCCGGGATATCTGGGACAGAACGGCTCACCATCCCGGCCCGGGCTCCGAAGCTGCAAACTCGGAGTTTCCCGAAGACTTCACTGTCGCCTTCCGCAGTTGGAAGGTCTCGACCTGGACAAAAGTTCAGCCTCGCATAATGCCAATTTGGACGACACTGCTTGGCAGCACAGTGTTTGCGGGGTATGGCTCCGTCGAGCACCGTGTCAGGAGTATTTCTGACACCTTACCTTCTGACGACAACCAGCTCGGATGAGGTTTGTTTGACTGGTTTTGATACCGGTAGCTTTGTCGTCTGAGAAAGGGTCCGGAGCGGGGTGCGTGCTTGGAGGTTCGGGAGAAACACTGGAGTTGATCCCTCCCAACGAAGCGTGATTGGTACGGGTGAATCCTTGCTCGCCTGACCTGCCCATGCTGACCCTGTGATGCTTGCCACAGGGCGGCCGTATAACACTCCCGATGTTATAGGCCAAGGATGGCTTGATATCACAGGCCAAAAAAAAAGCACATGAAAGCAAAAAGCAGAAAACGCCGAGCAAACCGATATTTTTGGTACCAACCAGGCTTGGAGTTGGCAGCGAGAACATGTTCACGATTCCGATCAAGCTGGCTGTTTGACGATCGCGTGGTCCTGTGCCAAAGCGGAGAAGGTGTGGGAAACGAAAAAATGCAGCATCCACCAGACAGCAAGGAACCCTTGGAGATTTGGCTGCGACTTTTTGCTTGTGGTCCACCCAAGAAGTGACAGACCCCAAACGGTCATGTCCAATCATAACGGGCGGGAAAAGACCAGAAGAGAGAAGGGCGAGTCGGGCACCTCTGCATGCACTGTGATGGCCAAGAGATCGCCTGCCAAGCGACATCCCGTGGCTTGTTCTGGTGGTTGTTTTGCGGAGAGTCCCCCTATTGAACCACTGGAACGACGATAGTGGCAGGTTCTTTGATGCTGAGGTAGCCTAATTTTCCCTTTTCGAGTCGGGTGCAGGTTGGGGTGAGCTCGATATCCCGAGTCTGCATTTCCTGACTCCTAGACCAGCCTATCCCACCATCTAAATGTCGTGCAACTGCCGGCACGGAGAGGATCACCACTCGGCCGCAAGGAGCTTATTCTCGCGGGATGACTTGCGGTGTGGGGGATGGAAGGAAGCTGGGTGTCATCGTTCGGCTTCTCCCTGCTGCCATAGGCTGCCACCATGAGGTCCTTCGGTATGGCGAGGAGGGGAAGGGGCTCATGGTGTGAGCGGTTTGGATATCTCACCCAGAGATGTGGAAGTTGATACACGTGCTATGAGGTCCCATATGCCCTCTGTGCCCGCTATTCACCAACAGTTGACCGCAACATGTTTGGTGTCGGGAAGACAGATTAAATCGATATTGGCTGCAGGAAGAGGTCGAGATGCAGATGCCTGTGGTCCGGCAACGCACCGCGGGTAGCGCATGGCGACCGACATCGTAATTGCGATGCCACCGTTTCCTACTGCCTCTAGTTCTATCAGCACTTCTAACACCTAGGCACCCGATTAACTCATGTCCACCTAACGGCTGCTGCAGGGAAGGTAGTGATGCGTAAGCTGAAGCGGCGCATACAGCAAAGTCATCAAACAGCGAAATCTGAGCATAAGTCAGCGATCAAGTAACTCCCACAGCACCACGGTAATGGATGAAGCAAAAGCGCTGATGAAAGAGATTCCAAGCTCAAAGATTTCAGCGACTCGCTCTTTTTGATATAAATACAAGGCAGCCCCACCACAATCCACCAAAGCCGTCGCCACACCCGGCAAACCCCCTGTCATCTCGCCCAGGTCCTGCCGTCCTGGAGCGGTCCAAGCGATAGCCACTGGGCTGACACTGTGCGCCCACCTAAAATCCTCAGCCTCCAAATCCAAAATCCGCTTTTCTCCTTTTAAACTCAAAACTCAACCTGCGTCCAGCCAACACCCGAACTTCGCAGCAGAGGAAACACTTACAAACGTCTCACCACATGCCACATACCTCACCCCGCCCCGCCCCGCTTCACTAACAACAACACATTCTTGACCACAACCCCCCTCCCGCGTGCGCATGACGACCTGCACCACCCCGAGGACCCTGAAAGAGTGCGGACCGGAACTGGCCGCGACGCTATTCCCGGCCTCTGCCTAGCCTTTGCGACAACCTCCCCTCTCGCGGCCGTGGCGGACGAGTGGAGGACTTGGTTTTGGGGACACTTGGGATTTGAAGGAAACGTTTTGCGGATCCAGCCGCCTCTCAATCGCCTTTCCGCTGCTGGGCATACTGGGCTGGCTCAGAACAAGATTCTGGGTCAGCGGATGCGTATGCCTCGCGCCGCCAATTCAGGAAAGCGACAGCAGGGAGCAAGCAACCAGCGTGATACCAGGCATGAGAATGGCCTGGTAGGTCCGGGGAAGCGTGTGGTCAAGCAGAAGAGCCAGAACCAGCTCGATGGCATCTCCAAGCCAACCGTTGACGCTGCCTCCGTGCCGCCTCTGCCACTGCAAGTCAACAACAACAACACCACCACCACCACCACCACCACCACCACCACCGCTGCCCCGCCCCATCCCGACGACATGGCTCCCGAACACCGGACAACCGAGATGCTCCGCAGGGGCTCACTAGATGCCTACTCTGAATCTTCGTCTGCCGACTCGCTCCCTGCTGCCGTCAGCCTGCCCATCCCCGACGAGGGTCACCGTCAGATCAATGTGAACGATGCCAAGAATACAAACGTCCACCGCGACCCCGGCTTGATGGAGCTCGCCATCACGGTCCTTCGCGCATGCCCTCTTCAGGACACCATTGCTATCCTCATCATTCTCATGCAGGCTTCACCCGCTGTCTTGGCAACCATCTATACTTTGTTTACGCTTCTTACTTTTGTGCCACCCGTAACCACCAGTTCCGGTCTCAGCATCGCCGAGATTTTCGACGGCAGTCAAGGAACGCCTTCTCTGACGACCCTGGTTGGAATGGATGTGGTCATGTTGGGCATCTGGCTCTTCTTGTGGGCACCCATGCAGCAGTTCATCTTGGATCTCGCTCAAGTTGTGATCGCCTTGACCTTGGGCGGCGGTGGCACTTCGAGGCAAGGCACCACGAGCAATATTCTCTTTTGCGTGGCCATGGTAGGAATGTCTCAGTGGACACGGCACGCCCGGTGGAGTGGTTTGTCGCGACTGAGCTCGGTGTTGGGTTCCCATCGCTTCCTGATGGCTGATTCAGATTCAAATATGCGTGCATTCGAGAAGAAGGGCCCTGATGGGTGGCTTCGAAATATTTTGGGTATTCACATTCTGACTCAGGGTCTGGTGCGATACATCCGGGAATGGTACCTGCGGAGGGAACGTCGTGATTTGCAGCTCCAGAGCCTAGCAGACCCCGAAGCCGGAAAGTCCGTTTCTTTTACGGCCGAGGGTTCCTCAGATGCTGCCCTCATGGCCGCCGACAGCGATGCTCACCTACAAACCAGCGCAGGAAATATTTCGACCAAGAAACGCAGGAAGCAAAGTGCTCTCGTCCGGATCAGGCAGCCTCTCTGGGCGGCTCTAGCTAGTACCAAGATTGTTATGGTGAAGGAGTATGAGCTTTCCCACGCCGCCTCGGAATCAACCAGTTCGAACGCCACCGATATCCACAACCTGGGCAATGCCCCCTTCAACAAGCAGCCTGAGAAGATCTGGATCTGCTATGTGGGTTGCGACGAGGTCTGCTTCAACACCAGTCATTTCCCTGATCCATTGAGTGAAGACGAGGCATCCGAGGACGAGAGCCATCCAGGCATCGATATGAGTAAACCGTTCTATGTCAGGGTCAACAAAGCTATTTGGCAACCAACCCGAATGATGCCAATCGAAATCGGCGAGGAGGAAAAGCAACAAGGGACGTGCTGGACAGGCGATATCTACGGACTTACGCCGCTCTCCAACTACGAGTGCGAATTCGTCAGCACTCGTACTGGTGAGGTCATTTTCTCAACCAGTGTCAGAACCATTCAGGCCAAGAGCAAGGATCTCGAAGTAGCATCCAAAACCACCGGCAATCAACGATCGCATGCCCGCCACGACTCGCCCGCCACGACTCTTAGGGCATCCATTGCTGCAGCTGAAGCGAAATTGGCCGATGAAAAGGCCCGTCTCAAGTCTGTAAAAAAGGACAACAACCGAAAGCTGAATGCCCTGCGAAAAGAGATCGAGAAGTTGTCCTCAGCTGTACAGTCGGCTGGTGGAGATGACGAGAAACTAAGACAGAAGGTGGCGCAAAACAAGGTCCAGGAGAAGCGAGCCGAAGAGTCCATCAATGAGCTTGACGCGGAGCTCAAGGAGTTGGAGGCATTGCCCGAGGAGCTGCTGAATGAGTATCGGGCCAAGCAAAGTGCCTGGACATCAGAGAAGGCCCAGTTTGACAAGGCCCGCTCCTCCTTCAAGAGCTGGAAGGCGTCCATTGACAAGGAGTTGAAGTTGTTGGAAGAGGAAAGGGCTAGCTTACAGGCCAAGCGCAATAAGATCGCGACACGTATCGCCAAGGTCGATGATGAACATGCTCGCATCACGGATGCCAATGCTCGGGGGCTGAACGAGGCAGAGCGTCGCCGGCAGGAGCGCGCTGCCCTCGAGGCTGATATGGCCCGCACGGAGCAGCATCTCAGGGATCGCATCCAGACGCTTCGTGCTGGTAATATCACCAAGCAGGCGCAAATCCACGACCTGAACACCCAGTTGGAAGTTTACATGGCAAGCTTTCAAGACGACCTGGCTTACGACACAGGAGCGGTGCCGGGTCATTTCCAACCCTCTGCACAGTGGGGTCCGCCGCCAGCTCCTGTTCCCTACAACGCTCATGCCCATGCGCATGCTCAACCTCAGCCTATGTGGCCGCCGACCTCCATGGCCGGCCCTGCTCCTTCTCTTCTTCCGCCTTCGCACCTGTCTGCGTATCCCAGTCCGATCGGACCGGTAGCCAATCCACCTCACGCCAAGACCAGAGGTCGCTCGTCGTCCATGTTGAGCGATGTTTCAGGCTTCACTCAGTCGACGGAGGAGCTTGACCGTGAGTTCAACAGCAATGTAGGAGTTATCGGGCACCCCCACCTCCACGCCAACCATCATTCCTACGGGACATCAGGATCAACGAGTTTGCGAGGCCCACCTGGCTTCCACATTTCGCGGCAGCGAAGTGACGGCCCCGGTGTTGGATCAGGCTCGGGGTCTGGGTCTGGATCCGGCTTCGGCTCCGGCAGCAGTAGCGTGCGGTCGGGGATGAGTGGTGGAAGCGTCAAGGAAGCCCCCAGCCCTGCGTAACTGCCGGGTTGTTTCGAAGATGAAAGTGGATGTCAGGCCTTTTTTCACTGATGTCCGTCTTTGTTGACTCGGTTGGCTTTCTTTGGATATGCGCGTTTCTTCACAACTGTACTCGGCATTGCTCCTGCGTTGGTTGGACACTTCATGGCTGAATATCTGGCGGTTGTGTGTGTGCTTGGCCTGGCTTCTCTTTTTGTGGGGTGGGCATGTATTCTCATCAGCGAAACATAGCGGGTGTGTATGTGCCTACCTTTGGGGCTCTTGCTTGGCTACCTCCGTAGATAGATTGGATGTTTTCAGCGTTGGATCAAATGCGAAAAAGTTTGGCTTTGATACCTGTGTGTGTGTGTGTGTGTTTTGTCTGATATTTTTCTCGTCCCAAATTTGAGAGCAGGCGGTGTCATGTAGGAAAGTTTTGGACCAAGTCCGTTAGGGTTACGCCAGTGAAGTGGCTCGTGGAACATGCGGTTTGGCAACCGGTGGCTTTTGTCATCTCAAGGTTTTACGAAACGCTTTCGCTTGTGTCATGAGGCTTTACTGTACACAGCTGGTACCTACTGGGACGGCGGAATTGACCTTGGGCGGTGCACTGTCTAAGTGATGTCTTGGGGCTGGCCAACTGTGGATAGGTATTGATGCCATATCGATAATGCTTGTCCATAGACTCCATACTGCCGTGATCTCTCGCCGACGTTGGCTTGAGTCCCCCCCCGGAAAACCATCAAATTACCCAAAGGCTTCCAGACTCATGGAAGTTGGATCAGGCTTGTGGTTGGTGCAGTGTATGTAGATCGATCATATGCATCTTGGCACGCCCAGCCATCCTCGGCATTCCTTACACAAATGCGGGAAGAAAGCGTATCGTATCCGTACCTGCTGTTCCAAACTCCTGCTAATCTGTCAAGTTGCGTCAATATATGCAAGATGACACCGAATTGGGTTGGGTATGTGTACACTAGTTCTTGTTGACTGCTGGTGTTGGGTGATTGGTTTGTGGTACGTTGTGCCATATCCGTAGCTTCCGTCAAAGTGGGCAAGGGGGCTGGATGGCTAGGCTGTCAGGGGTTTTTGTTGTTGTTTTACCCCGCAAAATAATGCTGGAGGATTCTGCGGGGAAGAAGACGGGACAAAGAAGTCTTTCGAGGAGACAAAAAGGGCGCTAGGCTTGGAACAGGGGTGTGCCCGAGAAGTTGATCGTGATGGTTGCTTGCTGGCTGCAGGAACGGGTGGTTGAAGATGCAGGTTTTTTTGGGGAGGGAGATGGGGATGAATGACATGTGGTATGTGGGAGTGAAGATTAAGATGGTACTTGATTTGGGGTAGGAAGAACAGAGATGTTACGGGGAACAAATGTTGACAGCAGAACTTGACAGCTTCGGTGTGAGGGTGAGTCGAGTCTCTTGGCATCGTTGCTCGGTTCCAGTCTTGTACAAACAAATCGGTCCATCTACATGACCTTCTTGTTGGCTCTGCCCAGCTGATGAGAGAGTATTTCCTACACTACGTACTGTCGTGTCGGGACATATCAACCACCAATGAAGGTCACCGTCCAACTGCCCATGTTCTTTCACCTGGGTGTGGGGCGTTTAACTTTCTGAGGTCCCATGTAACGGCGTGAACGACCACATCCAATGACACTTCCAGGTTTTCCTTCCTGAATATCAACCGCCCCCGAGATCTCATCTCTTACACCTGACCTGCGCAAGCGTCTTATTTGGCAGGCTCAAATTATAGCGAGATCCATGCGGTTCTCAAAGAAAACAATCTAAATGGCATGATAGGAAATGAAGATTGGCGATGTTAAACCCCAAATCGAGAAGCTATCTCCTAGCCGTGAACTCCTGCATGCTGCTTTGATTCCTAGTGCCTCTTCTCTCTGTCAACGAAAGGTGTGTGCAACAAGACCAGGTGGGGGTGTATGCCGAGGCTCTTGTTCCCCCTCAATCATATGCAACGACGTTCCACTTTCCCCGGATTTTTTCCCAACACAACGTGAACACACAGATTTCCTTTCCCCGGATGGCGGGTTCCATTCCGTGGCGACATGCTCTCCCGCCGTGGAAATTCACGACGTCGGTCAAGACCCTAAGCCCGGTTTCTCATGCCTTGGCCTGCCGAAAGAGGTGTTGATGGAAGACTGACCCACCATCTTCTTCCCATTGATTGAGGGAGGAGGATGGATGTGTGTGTGAATACGAACCAATGGGGGGGTATACCCAAGACTTCTTGACCCCGAAAGCTGGCGGCTGGATCTGCCATTGTTGAGAGCGAGCATGAAAGTGGATGGTGCCTGGTGTAGTGTGCGGGTGAAGGGACCCTGTCAAGCTGGGAGAACCAAGAGGCAAGACCGCCTCCCGTCTCCAAATCACCCTCCCTCAAGCCAGAGTGAGTGGTATAAATCCAGACTCTTCCTCCGCCTGTCACTTTACCTTAGCCTCTCCCCCCTTCTTCACCGACCATCGTGTTCCACTGTACTTCACTCGCTCTCAAGTACATACAACAAACACCGTCGACACTCGTTCGTCAAGAAACTACCAAACCCAACACCAACTAATACTTAATATCCACCCCCCAACCTTCAAAATGAAGTACACCGCTGCCCTCCTCGCCCTCGCGGCCGCCGTCTCCGCCCAGGACATCTCCATCTTCCCCGAGTGCTCCCTCGACTGCATCATCAGCGGCATCGGCTCCGGCACCTCCTGCGAGCTGACCGACTTCGCCTGCGTCTGCGAGAACACCCAGTCCCTCATCACCTCGGCCACCCCTTGCGTTCTCGAAGCCTGCGGTGCCGATGTTGCTCTCAGTACGCCCCCTTCCCCTATTCCCATCCCTCCCCCCTTACTAACCTTCTCTCCCAGACGAGGTCCTCCCCGCAGTCGACGAGTTCTGCGCCGGCGTTGGCGGTGGCGACGATGACGCCCCTGCCGAGGACGACGAGCCCAGCGTCACTGCCACCCCCGCCCCTGAGCCCACCGACGCTCCCGCCGAGGATGATGACGACGAGGACGACGAGGACGTCGAGCCAACCCCTACCGGCTCCTTCGTTTCCAACATCACCCCTGCCCCCACCAGCAACACCACCATCCCCCCTCCCGTTGAGGAGACCACCACCCCTCCTCCCGTCACTGCTGGCGCCGCCGCTGTTGGATACATTGGCTCTTTGGGCATGCTCGCTCTCGGTGCCATTGCTGCTCTCTAAATGACGTTTCTCATAACCTGGAGTGGTTAGCGACCGTACAAGCACGGGGGGGGATACAAAATGTACCAATATCATCTTGTCTCGAGAGAGAAAGGCTGTACTGTACATATCTAGTTGGCTAGATAATGAAGTACAATGGAACATGCAACCGCAGCACATTACCACCTGAGGGTGAAAGAAGTATATATGCCTCATCTCTCTACATAAACGACTGGAAAACTAAAGATGATCAAAAACCGCCAAACAATAAAAAGTGACTAGTGATATAAACGGGCCTTGTGATAAAATAGACACCATACAAATGCAATTCATCCCCCGACTGACTGTTGTTGCCCCATGCTGTGCCTACTCACCTCAAACATATATACCCCTTCTTTCAAGTATACCTCACCTCATCAAACAACCCAGCCCTCACCTGCACCACGCTCGCCATCTCAAACAAAAAGCTCTGCAGCAGCACCACATTCGTCAGCACATGTGATACCGACACCGTCTTCTCCTCCACGACGGTCCCCGCATCCGTCTCCCCGTCCTCAGACGGTGCCAACAATGCATCCTCCCCGCCTCCTTCACCTTCACCTTCAGCGTCATCAGATGCATCCTCCCCGCCCTCCGCAGAGTCGGCCGAGACAATAGCTGGTTTCCTATCATAGCTCAATGTAATTGGCTCCACTGGCGGCTTGACCTCCGGGATTCCAATCCTCCTCGCCAAGATACTCTGATCAATCGCCTGGAAAGCCTTGGCTTGCGAGTTGAGGATATCGCCCCGGTTATCCCACGATATAGGCGCCGGGGCACTTGCTACGCTGGTGGGCGAGAAGGACCGGTTGGGGATAGGTGTCCGGAGAAGCGTGGCATCGTTCATCGGTACAACCCGTTCTGAAGCCACCCGTCTGGTCTCCTTCCTGCCACGGGGACTGCCTGAGCGACTGGGTGTACCGAGCTCAGACAATATGCGCTGGGCAAACACCTCGAGGCCAGAAGGTCGCTCCCTAGATGGGTTGCGAGCCTCGTCAAACATGCCCTTTTCAATGGACGGTGTGCCCGCGACTGTCGGTGCTTGGGAAGACGGGGTTCTAGCCCGGGACGGGGTAGGAATAGGAGGAGCGTGATCAGCAATCTGGAAAGCCTCTCGGCGTTGCTGAAGCAGGTCATCAAATCGTGGAACTTGCTCCCGGTATGCCTCAACCTGGTCGCAAAGAAGCTGGAGAACCTTGAGCAAGCGGGGAAGGCTTGACTGGTTCCACTTGGGACGCCGCCGGCACTCCTTCAGCTGCTGCATTTGGACGTATTCGGCGTATTCCTGGGACTCGGGATCCAGGGACGGGTCAGGAAGAGGCAGCTCCTCGTCTTCCTCGTCATCCTCGTCGAAATGGTAGCTTTGTGGGCTTCTCAAGAACCACCCTTCTAGATGCATGTAGCCGCACACAGCAAGGTCGATAACGGCTTCCGTCAGGCATAGGTTGGTTTCTACCGGGTTGGTGAAAAACGTTTCGAGCCGGTCAAGCATTATGTTTAGTAGAGGGTCTTCTGGGCGAAGGGTATGTGATCGGACGCTCCGAGGTGCACTGGGAAGACTGTCTGGCACGGCGGGTAATTGGTGGTTATTTGATGAAGTCTTGGGCGTGATCAACGGCGTTGAGCAGGGGTGGTTTTCTACACGTCCCAATGTGTCCCTGAGTAGGTTCTCGTAGAGCTCGTTAAAAGCGTCATCGCCGCCAATGGTACCAGCCAGTGCCATCAGATAGTCAATTTCTTGCGCCTGGGCTCCGGCTGTTCGGTGGTGAGACTCATCGAGCACACCTTCTGTGTCGAGGAGTGTGGTGACTGCGTATCGGTGATGTCTCTTAAGAATCGTCGATACAAGTTGGAGAGTCACATGAACAGTTTGATGATTCTGAGAACGGAGACAGGCGCGTATAAGGTCAACAAGGTTGAAGAGCAAGGGGTCAGCTGCCTCCTCGCTTTTGGAGGCCATCATGGTAGCCAGGTCCAGTGATTTACGTTTCCGAGCAGCGCTGACAATGTCGCCAGAATCAGCAGGGGCGGGCGATACAACGTCGGGTAAAGCAAGAAGGTAGTGAAGAATGAGGTTGATCATGTCGGGATGATCGACAGATTCCAAAATGCGGCGAAGATAAGTCAAGACGGCCACCGACGAGCCACCGTCCACATCAGAAGACTCAAGCAGCGAAGGGTATCTGCGATATATCAGCAAAGTTCATACGACTGACCATTGGGCCGAAGAGAACTTACAAAAGTTGCTGCAGAAAGATGACTTGGAAGTGCTCCAACAAGGTCGATTTGACTTCGACAGACTTACAATGATTCAGAACATCCTGCCAGAAGAGCAGATGGGAGAGAAATGTGTCCACATGAGATAAAAACTCGGGTGAGCAGGAGCTCACAATCTCGTAGTTTGATTTCGGATGTTCGTAGTCAGATAATGCAAGACAAGGGGGCACTTCGTTGCTTGGGTGGTCAATCACGAGCTTGCGGCTCAGTTGACTATACAGAGCGCCCAATCCCGTGGCCATGAGCGTTGACAAATCGCTCTCGACAATCCACTGTTCGAGCAGAACCGAGCTTGATGCCGCTTCGATGATATAAAGCAGGCCGGTCCTGGCAAAGTCACCCACCTTGCCCTCATGATGGATGTAGTCCATCAACAGATAAAAGAGGGGGAAGTCCTGTTTTTGGGTCTTCCCCGTGAACTTATCATGGCCGTCAACATGTTTGGCATCATGTGGACCGTGGTGGTGGGACTTGAACCAGGCGGGCAGTATCTCGGGATTCAGACGGATCTTAGTCGTGATGTTGAAAGCCAGTTCAACGATACGGGCCTCAATCTCGGCACTGAGGCGTATGCTGTTTGCGCCAGTTATGCGCACCAGCAGGTTCGTCAAGCTGCCGGAGAAGTTGTCGTTCTCCACAAAGGCTTCCTCCTCGCTTTCGATCAGCGTCGCGAAGAAGAGCACTGCCTCCTTGATGATCCATTCGTTGTAGGAGCTGGTGGCGATTTTGGCCACCGGGATATAAACTTGCTTTGCAGCAGCAAAGGAAATACATGGATGTGGGAGGGGACGTCTGGACTCGTCACTGAGGAGACTTGTCAATTCTTGAAGTCTGATCTCGATTTGTTCGGCGGCTTCATCATCGTGGGCGAGGTTGGAGGAGTGACGCCATGTGTGCTAATTATAGGACATGATCAGAAACGATGCCCCGATCTATTCATAGCAGACCTTGGGGAGTCTCACCAATAGCTGACTGTATTCCTTCTCGAAACGGTGTAGGCGACGGGCAGGATCCTTTGCGAAGTCCTTCCGGGAGCTTGCCGACGACAGCGGCGTGTGTGCTAGGAGGCGCGACCACTGTAGATGGGGAGTTAGGGGGAGACCTGGTTCCGGTCCTGGGGCGGTCACGGCTTACAAAATCCATGGTCTGTTTGGCTGCATCTCGAGCACAACTCGAAGCAGCGCAGACGGCGTTATCTCGTTGAACGACTGATGTCCAGTTGCATGAAGAGGTGCTGTTCCAGATGTCTTGTCGCGAAATTGATTAGATTAGCCGTTTGGCCTCGCCTGACGTCCACCGGCCGGCAGCTGCAGCGCTGAGTGAGCACGGGCGGCTTTTTCAGGGGTGCCATGCCCTGCGTGCCCGCCTGCAGCCCAGCCTGTAATTACAATGCCAAGCATATCGAGATATCCACCAGTTCTCACAATCACAAGCATCACTTTTAGTTTTTGCGCTTCACCGTCTTTCGTCCCGTCGGTGTAGTTCATCGTGACTCACCTCGAAAGACCCCCTCGATGGAAGCTTGTGTTTGAAGTTAGGGTCTAGCCGCTTCAACCGCTTCAGGTACCGGTGCCTCTACCTATCAAGACTCCCCACGTTGTTGCTCCCCTTGCTGGGCAGGGTCCAACCCCTTTGCAGCTCTCAACTCCAACGAAAAATTCACCGTTGCAACTGACGCAGCAGACAGAATTGCCGAATGGCATCATGTTCTTGCTGCAGGGCTTGCTAGATAGCAGCATTGAAGCCTGATGCGCTGTTGGGTACTGCGACAACTGGCCTTGAAGATGGATCTATACTATCCCAGTGCGGGGAAGCACAAGTCGAGGCTGGTCTCTCTCGCAACCTCACTGCGGCCGAGTCGGCGACAGTTCGCGGGATCGTGGGTCGGATGATGGTCTTCTGCGGCCGCTATTCGCGGCGACCTGCAGAGAGACACTGCACATGCAATATCCAGACCGTTTCTCGCTGCATTGGATTTCACCCCACAAATCGAACACTCTTCATGACTCCCACACATTCGACCACGGCGGCTATCAGCAAATCACCGACCCCTCATAGAGGACCTTTGCCCTTTTTTTGTGTGGTTAGACACCAGTGGGACACCTCGGGGTAGGGTTCTGGTTTGGCAGACCCGTCATCGATCATCATGATTGGAGGCTGAGCAGTTACACAGCAAGCGAATAGGAGAACACCACCAACCTCTTGACCGGGATATGGCAAGGCACTCCCGCTGCTGTCACTCGGTACCTTTGTTCGCCTCGAGTTAAGCCCGTGACTATCATCTACCGAGACCTGCTCCCAAGGCCCACCGAGTGCCTAGGGCCGGGTTTCGGTTTTCTTCTTAAGCTGGGCCAAGTCGGCCTGTGGCAAGTATTTTTTATTTTTGCTCCTTTTGGTCTTTGCATTGCGTCAAACTTCAACCTATACTGTATCACCCATCTCACCCCTCGTCTCTCATGGGACCTTATCGTCACCATGGGCTTCTTTACGCGCTCCAAGAAAGCGAAGAAGGACACCCCAAAGCCCCCATCTAAACATCAGTCCAGTCGAGCCTCTGGTCAACGCCAATTACCTCCCCCTCCTCCATCAGCAACACCGGCCTCACCACACTTGCAACATGGCCGGCCATACATTCCATCATCTCCTCAATTCCAGCCCGCTGGCTTGCTCCCTCCACCTTCTGGCTGGGAACCTTATCAGCTACCATACCCATCCCCTCCCATCATTGTGAATCAACATCACTATTATCTTGGTCCGCCACCGCCATTACCACCTCGCGACGACCATTCATCCCGATCTCAACCAAGTGGTAGTAATCACAAGCTCAACCTCGACTCGGCTGTCGATTTGGCAAAGAACCTCTGCCAAGAGGCTGGGATCACCAGGATGTTTGACAGTGCTCTTTCACAATCTCCATTATCTAGCTACGGGGCTGAGCTGGTTGACCAGAGCAATGCCCTCTTGAACCAAGTTTCCAACCAGTTCAATGATGTCTTGACCATGATTGATCGAGACCATTACTCGAGCCACGAAAAGGAGATTCTCGCTTGGCAGCCACAGCAACCACCTCAATCGCAGGAGCTTGTACGGGTTTCAGACTCCTCGCTGAGCGAGAAGAGCATGCACAAACCACCCAAAAGAAGTCACAAAAGGGATCACCCCAAGGGACAGACAACAGCGGCAGCAACAGTTGTCTCGGGAAGCATTTTCTCCAAGGTGGAACTGTATGCGAACTCGAGGCTGCCTATGAACCTGCAGCCTCTCAAGTTGTATGTCTCCTTTTTCGCTTTGGCCGTCAGATCCGCTATTAACACCACCGCAGATACATTCCCACCTACCCCTTACTATGCTTGGCAGCACAATACTCTGAACGTGTCTACGACAAGCCTGAGGGCGCCGAGAGCGATGCCCACGTCGATGCGGATTGGCGAGCTGGTACAAAAGCCATGGTCATCAAGTCAATGCCGATGGATTACATGAACACAATTGTCTTTTCCATTCGTGGTACGGCAACGTTTATGGATTGGACGGTCAATCTTAAGACCGATCCAGCGTCTCCATCTGGCTTTTTGGTACGCATCTGACTCGTCCTTTTGAGCAGTCTCGTAATTCTAACCTTTATCAGGATGACCCTCACAACCTTTGCCACTCCGGCTTCCTTTCGGTCGCTCGCAAGATGGTGATTCCTGTCGCCCGCCGCCTCCGGCAGCTGCTTGAGGAGGACCCAAACCGTGCTTCTTACTCGCTCTTGATCACGGGTCACAGCGCAGGAGGAGCTGTCGCTTCCCTCCTCTACATGCACATGTTGTCCACTTCCAAGGCGGCAGAGAGCGAGTTGAACATCGTCGCCGGGTTCTTCAAGCGCATTCACTGCATCACCTTTGGGACACCGCCGATCAGCCTTCGACCGCTCACCAAGCCCGAGGACTACGAGCGTCGCCCTCAGCTCAGAAAGAGCTTGTTTCTCAGCTTTGTCAACGAAGGTGACCCGGTGGCGAGAGCAGACACGGCCTATGTCAAGAGTTTATTGGAGCTTTTCGTTGCCCCTGCGCCGCCTGCCATCATCAGCTCGCGAGATGCTGCGAATAAGAAGGTCCGCACGAAAGAGAAGGCTCCCAGCAAGAGCTCGAAATCCTCTTCTGGTCCGATCTGGAAGGTGCCGCCCAACAGACTGAGCAGTGCCGGCCGAATTGTGGTGTTGAGGTCGGGGGATCCAAAAGCCAGGTCAAAGGGAAAGAAAAAGACGGTAGAGGAGCGCCTGAACGAGGGTGTGGTTGCTCAAATCACGTCTGATGAGCAACTACGGGGTGTAATCTGGGGTGATCCTGTCGCTCACGTCATGAGACTGTATGCTGGCAGGATCGAGACGCTTGCTGTCGGTGCTGTCACCGGGCGAGGATACTGATGATGAAAATATTCTGGATGGAGTTTTGGATTTGATTTCTCTGGGGATGATACCAAGGACGGGCGTTCCATTGGCTTTTTATTGCATGAGACATGAGACATGACAAGTACATACCAGAAAAAGGCACAAAACATCCCGATAACAGTTTGGGAAATGTTACGAGTATCTTTTTGTACTACAGACATCACTACACACTACTTGAAATATATCCCATACCATGTTACAACGTATTCTCGCTGTCACACACTCTGTACAATGATGGTCAGGGATATGTATGCCAACAATAAACCGGAGCCCCTGACAGTCATTGTGTGGGGGTGGGGCGGCACCGATGACGGCGCCGAGCGATGCGTGGCCCGATATGGAAACTCCGATAAGAATTTCTACCCCTCCGAGCCCCACCGTTAACACCGGCTCCGAGCCTCCGTTAGACTGGAATCATTTTATTTGTTGCCCGTAGAGGTACTCGCGATCTGGAGGAGAATCATCAAGGAAGGAGTAGCGACAGCCCTCATCTTATAGACAGTCAAGATGGATCTAGACCCAAAGATTCGTATGTTGATGCCAAATGGTTTCCTCAAACGACAACCCCCAAAGCTAATCACAGGTTACAGCGCAATACTCAACCGGCGACCCCAACTCCTTTGGTTGGCAAACCGGAAGAAGAAGATGGCCCATCATCATCGTCAGTAACCACCCCCTTTCTCTTCCAAAACATCCCCTCTGACTCCTCCCCGCCAGACCCAAGCCATAGACGACGCCTACCGCGCAGTAGCCCACTGCCCCGACCCCGAAAAGCAAACCGAAGGTAAGCGCATCGTCGAAGCGCTCACCAAACTTAAATACGAAGTCCAGCACGACCGCGCCCTCACCCCCCTCCCCGACGATGGCTATCCCGATATAGCCACCTACAACGCCGAGCTCGAACAGCTCAACTCCCCAACCTGGCTGAAATCCCCCTGGCTCTACACCGAATGCTACCTCTTCCGGCGCATTGCCACCTCCTTCGCCCTGTCCAGCCACTGGAAAAACTACGATGTATTCGCCCGCCAAAAAACCTCCACCTTCCGCTCCTCCCGCCCCGCCGTCCTCGAGCTCGCCGCCAGATACAAGGACTTGATGTCCCAGCTCCAAAACCACCCCGACCAGCCCCGCGAGGCGCAGGAGTTGCTCTTCGCCGAAATGGCCGAGATCTGCCTCTGGGGCAACGCCACTGACCTATCTCTGCTCACGTCCCTCACGTACGAAGACATCCAAGCCCTCCAAGGGAGCGAAGCCCGCAAGAAGGCAGAGGCCAACATCCTGGTCAACGACCTCCCGTCTTGCTTCGCCCACCTTCTCGAAGCGAAACAATCCGGCAAAAAAGAACGTCGGGTCGACATCGTCCTCGACAATGCTGGCTTTGAGCTGTTTGTTGATCTCGTCTTGGCTGGGTACCTCCTCTCTGCTGGATTGGCCACACATGTCGTCTTGCATCCAAAGTCAATCCCCTGGTTTGTCTCCGATGTTTTGCCGTCCGACTTTGCCGCTTTGTTAAACGCGCTGGCGGCGCCGAGGTGGTTTTACGAGACGCCCTCTGGGGAGGAGGAGCTACAGGGGAAGACGCCAGAGAAGTTATCTGACAAGGAGGTGGAGGAGTTGGGGTTCTTGTTCCAGGAGTGGAGCAGGTTCCATGCTGAGGGGCAGTTGGTCTTGAGGCCAAACAGAGTGTGGACCGGACCGGGTAGCTTCTGGAGACTGCCCAAGGAGGCGCCAGAGTTGGTGGAGGACTTGAAGGGGAGCGAGGTGGTGATTTTTAAGGGGGATTTGAACTATAGGAAGCTGGTTGGAGATGTGAGTTTCTCTTCATGTTTACTGTTTTCTTCTTTTGCGACCGATGCTAACAGAGACTGTGTAGGCTGCCTGGGATCCTACTACCCCTTTCACAGAAGCCATCGGTCCTCTTGGTCCTGGCTCTGGGCTCAACATCCTCGCTCTGAGAACGTGCAAGGCCGATGTCGTTGTTGGTCTTCCTCCCGGAAAAGACGAGGAGCTCAAGGCGCTCGAGGATGGCGGTGGTGACTCTGGAGCGCGCAAGTGGGCTTGGAACGGAAAGTGGGCTGTTGTCTCCTTCTCCAAGGGGTCATGAGCGGAGGATTTGTCACGGATCTGTCTGTTGATACAGGAAGCAAGGCACCGGTAGCATACTAGAAAGTCAAATTTTGGCAATAGATGAACTAGCTGGTTAACCAGATCGGTGTCCATACTGCGCTATGTATTTGGGGTGGGTGGTATGCTAATTAAGTAGCCGCTATACTTGACAATTTTATAGTATTCAGACGCTGGGACTGGAGCAACAATAATGATGTCGGCTCATGCCCGTCGGTGTTCCGTCCAATCATGCTGTGCTACCGACTCATGTTAGCGGCGGTGACACCCGACTACACTCGTTCCCAGCAACTCTTACCTAGTTCTTCCGTCCAAATTGTATTTTCCCTGAATAACCCGACATATTTGCAAATGCAACCTGGCGCTGATGCTGATGGGTACCATACCCGCACTTCCCAATGTTACCAGAACTCTTTAGCAGCAAAAAGAAAATAAATAAATAAATGCCCCATGTAACCCCGTACATATTAGTGTTTTCGTCATGGAAGGAGTCCGTACCCAAGCTCCGCACCGGGCCTCTATCCCGTTTCCAGTTGGTCTTCGACTGTACGTGACTTCGGAGACTTGGCCCTACTCGATGCTCCTGTCTGCTTCTCGCCCTCCTTGTCAACAGCATCGTCCTCTTGTTCCTCACAAGAGTCAAACTCCATCTCGGGGTCGGAAACTGTCGCCTGAGAGTCCACATATGTTTTCTCTTCTGACTCCGGTTCCATGTCTGCATCCTCTTCTGGTTCGTACCCTACAAGGCTTCTACCGTTGATGCCCCTCTGCGCCCTGATGACGCTGGCCCGGAGCTCGGCGTCTGTCGTTTCCTCTGGTTGTTTGTGTAGCCTCGGCGTCAACGTCCATCTCGTCCTCGCTGGAGCTGCCGTCTTTGTCCTCCCAACCGTCCTCGCTGTCATACAAGTCCAGATCAAACTCAGTATCGGTCATCAAATCCTCGGGGTACTCCTCCGGCAGAGTCTGGCTCGAACCGACATCAACGTCTTTAAGCCCCTCGCCAGAGCCATTCTTCCTCCAACACCCAGCCCCTTGATCATAAACCGGAATTGCTACCTATTTGTTAGCCTCTCCCATCGATCAGCAAACACCCCCACCCAAGTCAAACTTACTCCGCCCAAACCAAGTACACTTCGAACAAGGCAGATGCGCACAAGTCCTCCAATACATTGACACCGACCTTCTACTGCCCCTCTTTTCTTCCTTGCCCCTTTCCTCCGTCCCCCTCGGACCCAAACTCGGACCCAAACTCGCACCCCTCCTCCTAACTGACTCAAACCTCTGCCTCAGCACAACCTGCCTACAAAAAGTATCCCAATTCGGGCCCTTCTTACAAGAACAACACTTCCAGTACCTCCCCAACCTCTCATAATCCCTACATTCCTCCTTCGGACACTTCCAGTCCACATTCTGTATCTTCCCGCGTTTCTTGTACACCTTTTCCCCCTCCTTTGACTTGCGGCAGAATTTGCCCAGAGGTTTTTTGGTGGTCGGGTCGCGGGGGGCGAGAGGACAGAAAACTTTCAGCTTTCCGTGGTGGCCGCATTTTTTGTGGCGGTAGTAGACTTTGTGGCACATCTTGGGGGGTTTCTGGGCGGATACCTAGGCTCCGTGAGGTGTGGGAGAGTATTTGCATCTGTTGTTATGATTGTGTCGGTGTGGGGGTGGTCGTGAAAAAGCCGTTCTTCGTGGGGGGTTGGAAGGGTTGGCAGATGGGAAAAAGAAGAAAAAAGATGTGTTTGAATAAAGAACGAGGGAAGATAAGACACTGTCTTTGGCTTGTGTATCCTGCTTAGAAGAAACTGGGTAAGATTGCTGCTTCGGCCCAAGACAAAAATAGCACTGTATATGTTGAAATATCTACTATTCTTGGTGCAAGAGAAGATAGAGATACCTTTGAGAAATGTGATTGCAAAGAAGAAATTGAGTTCGCAGTTGGAAAGACAATCTCTGCTTTGGCACGCAAGTGAAACCCAATTCATTGCAGGAACCATCCTTCTGCTGCCCCAACAATGAGGGAAAGAGCGGCCCCGGATGAGGCACCCAGTATCCACCCTCATGGGCGCTAGGGAACGAAAAGTCGGGGTTGTCCCACGCCATTTCCATTCTACTATGGGGTGAATGGATGTTTGGGTCATTGACGCCATGGTCATAATACGTAGCCGCGGTCGAAGCCACCAACTGGTGGGGATAGGACGTTTTGCCTTGCTCACGTGGATGGATACGAGCGTTGGTTGTTTACTAGCATGGATACTGGTCACGAATTTAGCCCTTTTTCCCTTTTCTCAACGGTGGAGGCTGTTGCCACTTACATTTACAATTGTCTAGGCAAGAGAGAGAGATCATGGAACATGTCATGAGGGAGGAAGAACAGTTTGATGTCGACGACAAAACATGTCCAAGAGATACGATAATAAGATGAAAGAGAAAAGGAAAGGAAAGAAAAGAAAAGAATCATCTGAAAAACAAAGGGCCCTGGCCTGACACTGAAAAAGGGAGGCAACCAACTGGCCAGCATCTCCCTGGCCCAGGTCAAGCTTTGTTTGATCTTCCCGTCCTGCTCTTCCCCTTCACTCTCCAACCAGCTAAGCCATCAATGACATCAACATCATGAATCCAACCCCCGTCTCTCACAGACGGAATCTCGCCAAGCAGTGGCATACCTAGACCATGGTCTGATTTTCAAAAAGCCTCCTTCCTATCCTGATAAGATCCGCTTAAGCTTTCATGTCCGCCGCCGCAACACCAGGTGGGAGTCAAGGGAGTAGCGTGGTTGATAGTTCCTCCACCTCAACACCCCACCACGGGTCGCGTCCACATGTCTGTGTGAAGTGATGGCACAAAGCTGAGCC